CCCCCCCCCCCCCCCCCCCCCCCGCCCAGGAGACTTTCAGTCCCAGAGGGACCTGGGAGTTAACAGTTAACACTCAGCTTCTTGCCTCTAGTCCTGGGGCAGAGGCCCCAAATGGACATCGGCCATGGCAGCAGGAGGGATATGAGCTAGACTCCAGGAGGGTCTGGAGCACAGGCTCCGGAGAGGAGGTCCTTTGTCATCCGCAAGTAGGTCAGGAGAAATAGGAGACCTGGCCTCCCTGGTGTGTTTTGGCCGGGGCAGCGCCTCTCACAGGCTCCCCACCTGTGGCTCCGGGTTGAAGCATCCTCCCTTCCTTTCTGGGCACGGCTTCCGCCTGTTGAGTGACTGCCACCTGTGGAAAGAAGGAGAGTCCCTTCCTACATCCAAACAGGACTTTTTACTCCCAAAGCCCTCTCCCCTGTTCCGTGATCTCGACAGGAGGCCCATGAGGCCTGGGTAGGGCTAGAGGTTTGATTCGCAGCCGAGGCCCAGAGAGGGTGAGGGATTCTCCTGAGGCCACACAGCAAGGTGGTGGCTGGCTGGCCCCACAGTGTCTTTCCCTTGACCCTGACTTCACATGGCCTCCCTATCTCTGGGTCTCCATTCTCCGGGCAGAGCAGTATACCTGGCTTCTGGCACACCCCTTTCACTGACATCCTGATGACTCTGTGTTGCCCACCCCCCCCACCCCCCCCGCCGTCTTTTGCCAAATGACCTCTGGTTCTTTTCAATCTTGCTCTTCCTCCCAGAGCACCAGCTTCCCTGGGACCTACAGCCCTCCCTTCAGGTGCCACGTGGGCCCTCCACTCTGAGATGGGAAGGGGCACTGTTCTCCTAGAACTCCCCACCTCTGGCCTTTTGTGTCTAGATCTGCAGAAACCCCACGTGCGGCCCCTAGCCAGGCCCTTCTGTCCCGAGCAGGGACCCCTCACTGCTCCCCACCCCCCACTCCTGACTTCTGTTTTCCTCCTTCCCATGGAGATTTACCCTTCCCGGGTTCCATCCCTCATATCTTACTCTGCTGGGGCAGGAGCAGGTCTGTCAAACGAGCTCCGGCCCCCAGGCTCATCAGAGTGGGGCATTAACCCTCCAGGGCCCATGGGCGGCTAACTAGAGCTAACACCCCGACTCCAAAGGAGGGAAGCAGAGTGTGGGACCTTCCCTGACAGTTGTGATAGACATTGTTTCTTCTGACTCTCTTCAGGTTGGTCACATGGGGACAGGGTACAATTACTACCCCTTCCCACCCCACCCCCCACCAGACAAGGAGGGGAGCGGAGGCTTGGTGAGGGGACATACAGTGTTCCCAGCCCCCTGCTTCCTGCAGGGGAAGGGTGAGAGCTGCCGTAGAAGCCAGAGGCCAGGGCCCCTTGCCCCCACTGCCCCTTAGCTCGGTGACAGCAGGGGCTGTAGACGTGTTGGGTGGGAGCCAGGTGATTAATTCTGGGGATGCCAGACCGAGGGGGCGTGAGCGGGAAAAGTGGGGAGATGTCACTCCTGTGAAACAGGGACATTTTTCACTCTGTCACTGGCAGGCCACGTATCTTTAAACAAACAACAGAATAAATAATTCAGGGGCCTGATTGCGGGCAGATTGGGCACAGAGACATGGGGCAACAAATGGGGGCTGTCAGCTCGTGCTTGCCACTGCCCAGCTAATTGTTCTCTGAGGTGGCAGGGACTGAAAACCAGCAGCAACAGCCTGTCATCAGCAAGGGATGGGTTTGGGGACCTTTGTACACACCCCTCACCCCGTCCCTCCCTTCATGCTGAGGATGCCCCTGGAGTGTCGCTCTCCCCGCCCTGTCCTCATTGCTATGGTTATTTCAGCCCTGTCCCTTTGCAGGGTTTAAAGAGGATTTCCATCCACCCTGTGGCTGAGAGCCAGCCAAGGGTTTATTATCCCATTTTACAGATGAGGGACTTGAGACTCGAGAGGTTCAGGTTGTTGGAAGGGCTCCTTGGCAGGTGCTGAGATCCCCTGTCCTGGGGAGGGCAGGACTGGACCCAAAGTCTCCTGACTCCTGGCCAGAGCGCTTCCCTTTGAGCCTCACAGTTAGCTCCCGGGAGCCCGGGCAGACTCACTGCTCCCATTTTCCAGATGGTGAGACCGAAGCTCCGCTGAAGGACTCTGGGGCCCCTGGCTTGTAGCTGAGGGCCGAATGCGCTTCCAGGTTCTGGAACCCAAGGACTGGATTTTCTATTGGAGACAGCTCTGGTCTTAGAGGGACAGCCGGGCCCAACTGTCCCTCACCTCCCCCACCACCTGCTCCCCTCTCACCCGCCTCGGTGCCCCCACGGCCGCCCTCAGGCGCCCATTTCCCTACAGTTGGTGGTTTTGCTGCTGCTGCTGCTGCTGTAGTTTTCCTTCACCCCTGAGCCATGGCTGCTGACGGGTTTACAGGTTTGGAAACTCAATTTTATCAGTTCACCCAGGGGGTGATGGAGCCCTGGGGAACTGATTCTCATCGGCCTGGCCTGCAGCTCGTGATTAAGCTGCCGGCTCACTTTCTGACGGTGCTGGATAGCGGAGGGTGGAGACTGGGGCTGGGGGAGCCCCTTAGGACAAGCAGTTGGGGCAAAAGGGCCACCGCTCTCATGTAACAGGTAGGGAAACTGAGGCCTAGCAGGGTGGGGGAAGAGCTTCCGGAAGTCACAGAGGGGGGGATTAGAGGCTCCTGTCCCTAGATCTGTGCACCCTCATACCTCCCTCTCAGCACCTCTGGCCTCATGGCGGGTTCCTTCCCCAAGTATGCCCGGCCAGGCACCTCACGGGTGCTGTCCATGGTCCTTCTACTCTCATAGTCAGCCGGCGCCCTGGAGGCCTATGGGTCATTTTAGAAATGAAGGTGGCAAGTCTTGGCACACTGTAAGGTGCTGTGTTCTTACTCTCTTCCTGAAGTCATGGGCCCCGTCACCTGTCCCGGTGGCACCTAAAACTCAAAACTTCCCGGCTACTGCCCAGCCAAGTGATTGTTCATGTTCTGCTTGAATATTTCCACGACCACATAAGGCCATCCTCTCCACTCAGCTCTGGCCAGGAGAAAGTTCGTCCTTTCCTTTCGTTCACCTGCCCTCCACCCCGCGTGCCTCCCCACTGGTCCTGCGGTGCCGTCCTCTGCTCACCCCACCCCCAACGAGTTTGCTTCTTGCCGCACTTGATGGGCCCTCTGAGAGTTGGACCCAGCAATCTGGCCCGTGTCAGTGGGCTTCCAGCTACACTGGTGTGGTAGATGGGCAGGAATGGGGACCCGGGTTTCTTCCATCTGGCTCCGTTGGCTCCCAGAGGGCTGTGCTGAGGCTAGTTGCCCTCAGTGTCTGTTCTGTCCCTGGAAAGCAGAAGAGAGGAAGTACAGGAGAAACCATCTGTTTTAATCAAATGACACGCAAGTCACACACAGCCCTCACGACCCTCACGTGTCATTCGCAGGAACGCCATCAAGCAGGGAGCTCGGGAAATGTAGTCTTTACTTGGCAGTCATGGGCCCTGGGAAAACGGGGTAGAGAGGATTGGGGGGTACCGTGGGCAGCCCACCGCACTGCTCCCCTCAGTGCCCTCTGCCCCAGGCCAGATGCCTTGGCCATGCACTCCTTTCCCGAGAAGACAGGACCCTGATGGGGTATCAGGGCAGCTTTGCAAACAAAGGCCCCCTGATTGTCTCCCATCCAGCCTCCTCTGGGCACCAGCATACAACTCCCACCCCAAGCGGCAAGGCTGACCTTGATTACTCTCCACTGAGCTGTCCCAGGCCGTGGAGGGAGACCCTGGATCCGGACAGGACAGAACCAAGGACCTGGCCAGGGTCCTCACCCCAGTGCCTCATTTTTCACATGAGGGTGGCATTTACCTAGCCTCCTCACTAGGCTGCTGTGAGGTCTGAACCCCGGCCGGGCAGAGGCAGGGGGAGGCTCGTGCTGCCCCGAAAAGCTGATGTTGTCACCCAGCTGTGAGTGGTGCAGAGGGCCCCAGGAGTGGCTGAGGGAGGGCCAGAGCCATGGGTGCGGATAAGGAGGCCTCGAGGCTGAGGTGAGACAGGGACACCTAGAAATGGGAAGGGTAGCCGGACCAAGGCCCAAGGGGACCTGGAGGCCTTCCACTTCCCTTGGGTGTGGCACGGGGGCCAACTGGTCAGCTCGTCAGTTTCTAGCCTCATGAGCCCCCCCTGCTCCGGTTCCGTCATTTATTTCCTCCGTCCCAACTCACCACTCCCGTCCCCTAGGCTGCCAGGCTATGTCTAATGTCTGTTCTTTGCATGTGTTCTTCTAGAACATGTGCTGTTGACCTGAAAACTTCTGTTGATAATACTTTAAGGCTATACAATTATATTACAAATAAAAACAATTCTCTTCAAGTGTGGTGGAGTCGGGAGGTGGCAGGGGCTTCGTGGGGGGGGGGGGGGGTGGGGGGGGAGTGTTCTAAGGAGGGGTCCTAACTAAAACAACTGTGGGGAGGGCAGGGCACTCCAGGCAAGCAGCCTGGCCCCAGCAAAGATGTGGAGGTGGGAAGGATGTTCAGAGACTGGGCGAGTCCAGTGAGGTGGGGGGGGGGTGCAGGGTGGTGGAAGGAAAGGGGGGGCAAGCGATGGGATGGGTGGGGTGGGGCCACCATGTGGTTTGGGGGCTGTGAACTGCTTGGTTCAGGGGTCTGGACTTGATGCCGTGGGCAGGGCAACGCCTGAGTGGAAGGGGGGTTTGAAGAAGCCAGCCCCTGATGCCTGGGTACCCCCGGTCTCTCTCCTTCCAGCACTGGCCACCAAACAGACCTACGTCACCTACACCAACCATGCAATCTAGCTAGGCCGCCAGAGCCGAACAAGAGGAGGATCCAAGACCCTTGTGGCTGATGCGTCGGGCCAGGGCCACTCCCAGGGGCCCAGCTGATGTCTTGCCTGCCCGTGGGCGCCCACGGACGTGGCTTGGTGCTGAGGACAGCAGAGCCCCCGGCGGTCACTGCTGGGCAGCCTGGGCAAGCCGGGCAGGTGACAGGAGGAGGACAAGGGGCTGGGGAAGCTTCAGGCCACCCCAAGAGCCTGCATCTTGGACCATGGCCCCTCCTGGCCCCAAATCACAGGGGCCCAGGCTGTGTGGGCCCCAGTGTTGGTTTTCTCTCTCTCCCTTCGTCTCTGCCTGTCCCACTGGTGACCGTCCGAGTCCGTCTCCATCCCTGTCTTTATTTTATCACTGCCTTTTCTCTCTGTGTCTTCACCTGTGTGCTCTACTCTTCTTTCTTTCTGCCTCTGCCTCCTCTCCCTGATGCATTCTCTGTCTCCAGGTCTCTCCAGTTTTTTCTCTTGTGCTCCACCCAGGTCTCGTGCATTTTTCTTCCCTGTCCTCGCCCCCTCCTCACCTTCATCGCACCCCGCCTTTGCTCTCTCCCCGTCACCACCTCCCAATTCACCAAACCGTACGTGTCGCAAAAGAGAAAAAGCTCAAAAAAATTCCAAACACAAAAAAGCCAAAACAAAAACGAATCTCGCGTGTGTTGCAAAGTGCCGCGTCCTCCTGGTGGCCTCTGTGTGTGTCCCTGTGGCCCGCAGCCTGCCCGCCTGCCCCCTCCCGTCTGCTGTGTGTCCTGCCCGCCTGCCCGCCTGCCCGTCCTGCTGATGACACGGAGTTCAGTGCCTGGGTGTTTGGTGATGGTTATTGATGACAATGTGTAGCGCATGATTGTTTTTATACCAAGAACATTTCTAATAAAAATAAACACATGGTTTTGCACCCTGGCTCCACATCCACTGAGGGCCCTGCAGGGGGACCCCAGTCTCAACCTGCAGCCGGAGAGCCTGGAATTAGAGGCAAGGAGCAAGTGGGTCATGGACCCTAGGGCTTGCGGGCGATGGAGGCTGCCTCCGGGGCTGGCATCGAGTGGGAACACGGAGAGGCCTTGGGCAGGGAGGGACCAGGACTTTGCAGCACATTCCAGAAATCAGCATCTGGTGGTCCCCTAAGGGGGATGTTCTATTCCTGTCCCTGGCCCTGCAGCCCCTAAGGAAGGTACCGTTTTGGCCCTTCCTCTCCTCTCACAGTCCTTACACCTGGGCCTCCGATCCCCGCCCCGTAACAAGCTGCTGCTTCTCCTCCATCTAGCCCGGAAACTCTCCTCTTGAGAAATTGGCTTCCAGGGCTCCCAGCACCCACAGCCCTGCCCTCCCGCCTGTCCTGTCTCCAGGTGACAGGTGCTAGGATGATGTGTGTCTCTGTCCTAGAGATTGGAGTGTGGCGTGTGTCCGCGTGGGCCAGGTGTGTGGCACAGGTATGTGCGTGTGGCTCCCCCAGCCCTGTGTGTGTGTGTGTCTGTTTTAGCTGCACGTCTGTGTGTGCTCTTGGTACCTCCATATGCATGCTTGTCTGTCTAGTGTGTCTGTTTAGGCCCAAGTGGGGGTAAAACCACATTGCACCCACATCGTGACGATGCTTGTCCCTGGCCAGCGGCAAGTGTGCAAGTGTGTGTTCACAGCAGCTGGCTTCGTTGGCAGGCTGGGCGGGAGGGAGCGGGAAGCAGCTTAGGGGCTGGGCCCTGCCGGGGGTAAATTACAGAGCCAGCGACACAATGAGGCCACAGCGGCAGCTGAAGCCCAGGCTTCCTGTGCCGCCCCTTTCTGGCCCGCCCCAGGCCCCACACCCCCTCCTACCTCCTTGGCTGGCTAAAGTGTGGGGCGCGAGGGCCCCCAGTGGGGGCCAGGCAGGGACTGGGTGTGTAGAGGTGAGGCTGGTGCATTAAATGGTGCCCTGGGCAGTGCCCCCTATGTAAGCCCGTCTAACTCCTTCGGGAGGGCTGGTGTCACGCCCACCTCTGCTCAGGCAATCTGTTCCCTTGGAGGGCCTGGGAGAGAGAGAGAGAGAGAGAGAGAGAGAGAGTGTGTGTGTGTGTAGAGCACCTACTTTATGCTCGGTATTTGTAAGGAAAGGAAGGGCAAAGAGGGTGTCTCTCACTGATTGTCTTGCTTTTGCAGGATGGTTCCTGCGCCCCAGAATAGATTCTACCCAGTGCTCTAGCCTAATCAGGCAAAACTAGGTGGTCAGACCAAGGGTGTTTGCCAGAAGCTCCCAGGGCGGGGTGTGTGAGCGCGTGCCTGTGGTGGGGGGCGGTTTGGATGAAGGGGAGTGCAACCAGTCCTCCAATGACATCTCCAGCCCGGGCACCTTGTCCCCTCTCTGGTCTGTTTCCCTCCCAAGGCGATTGCGGTGTTGAGGCCCAAGGCTAGGCGGAGGATTTGATGCTCAGCACAGGCCTTTCCCAGGTGCCCTCCCCACATCTGTGGAGCCCCCCATATCTGTGGAGCCCCTCTTCTAGGTTCCACTGGGGAGAATCAACTTCTTTCCGAGTGGGGTGCTGCCCGCTCTGCTCCCCTCAGTGCCCAGAGCCAGGGGTGGGCTCTTGGTGGGCCTTAGACCCATCAGGCATTCCTGAGACTTGGCCTAGTCCAGCCTGACTAGGACTCTGTGAAGGGGCAGGTGGAAAGGAGGCACCCAGGCCCCGGCCTCAGGGGGGTGCCAGTCAGATGGAGGAGACATAGCCCCACCTTCAGGGACTGCCCTGAGGGGCGAAACACAGCCTGTCCCTCAGGGAGCTTCCCGTCTGATGGGGAAGATCTAGGCCTCAGCATTTCTACAGCCTAGAAATGCCGAATATCCCAAAGGAACATAGTTATAGGAATAGGGTGGGGTAGGTAGGGGAAGCCTTGGGTGGGGTGTGAATTCCAAGGAGCCGTGTCCGGGAAATGGAGAAGTGTGCGGCTCCATGGGTCAGGGGTGGAGAGGAGGGACTAGTCTCTCCAGCACTTCCGGGAGGCAGACCCGGCGCAGGGGTGTGGGAGGGTGGGTGCCACGCATCACCTGGAAGGCACAGCCGGTGAAGCCGGGCCTGGGATCCCACAGGTGGGCCCCACTGGGATGTGCTCTGATGCACCGGTGGGAAAGCCCCGTGGCTGCTCACCTTTGCTCCCTCTGCCATGCTGTTAATTCCCCGGGCTCATGTGGGACACCCAAGAGAGGCAGACAGATGAGCAGTGCCTTTGGAATTTTGTACTTCAAAAAGATGGGGGCTGGCTTTGCAGTGCCCCTGGTTCCCTGGAGAGAGGGATGGTGGCCCCCAGAGACCTTTGCTCGGTAAGCAGGGTGATGGGGTGTCCACAAGCTCCCAGGGAGAGGCCCAGAGGCCCCAGGGCTGCAGCCTCCTCCTTTGTGGGTGGGGCCGGTGACAATACATTTTACAATCTCCCCAGGTGTCTGCTAGGCAGCCCAGTGGGCCAGGGAACTCGGTGGTTTTCAAGCTGTTCCAATGGCAGAACCTTTCCTTTAAATCAGCAGCAGCATCCCCGGGAACTTGTTAGAAAAACAAATTATGGGCCCCACCCAGACTTGGTTCTTTACGCATCCAATCCACAGGTATTAAGTACCTACTACGGGCCAGGCTGAGGGTGTGAAGTAATGAACGAGGTGGATGTGGCACTGGACTTTGGGGTTCTGCAGACAAGAGGGAACAACGCCCACTCGAGAGCTCGTGGAGGCCCAAAGCCAAGGCTAGGCTACGACTAGCCCGGGGCAGAAGCCCACCAAGCTACCAAGCCAGCGGGGCACACAGGACACCTTTGTGGAACTCCTAGGTCCCTGGGGACTCAGCCTCAGAGGCAGTATACAAGCTTGGGTCCCTTCCAGCTCAGATGCGAAGTTCCAGCGTCTCCTGGTCTGTTTCTCCTGTCCTGCCTTCTCAGGCCCTGGTGGCAGAGGCAAAAAGGACCAGGAATTGGCCTGTGAACACCATGCCAGGTGCCCCCACACCATCTCA